GAGCAGCGGCTGAATGAGGACGCCTGGGGCAGAGCAGCTTGGGTGCTGCTGGGTTGGTCCAGTAGCACCGAGGAGTTGCTCTGCCCCGGGCTTCCTGGAATTAGCCGCTGATCAGTTTCAGCAGCAGCTGACTTGGGGCCGCCTGGGGTTCTTAAGTTGAATCTGTATGGACTGGTTTCCAGATTCAGCCACTGTTGAAACTGATCGGTTTCAGCAGTGGCTGAATCTGGATGCCAGTTCCGACTTACATACAGATTCAACTTAAGAACAAACCTACAGTCCCTATCTTGTACGTAACCCGGGGACTGCCTGTACTACTAGCAGGATGTGAACAGAAAATATGGGACTCAAAGTACATGCTATCAAAAGGAAAGAATGAAAACAAGAAATGTAGTTTTAGCATTACAACATCTCTTTTAGGTATAGCCATTTTTTATCTTAATACGTATTGATTTTCATATTTCTATATCAACTTCTGCCCTCCCCACCCAGCACTAGAGGTTTAAGGATTCAAGTAAAGGTTTCTGTCTGCCTATACTCTCACACACACCTCTGTAACAACAGAAACTCTTCTTACTTTCTTGGGCCACCAGAATACAGTCTTCATGACCACAGTACATCTGAGCAATTATCAAGGGTCATTAGCTCATTTTCAACTTCGTGGCATGGCAATATAAACTCCATTTATTTTCAGCATCAATATTTTCAAACATTTCAAAAAATATATATACCACTCCCACACATTACTTTCTAGTCATATAGATGGTTATTTCATGCCAAGACTACTATGAATTTCTCAGCTATTAACTAGGCTTTGCACAACTCAATTACATCTTTGAGATACAATCAATCTCTTAACCTCTGTCTGCATTATGTTTAATTACTCAAGGTTAGCCTTGATAGTGGAGCAACAAGATGTTCTTTTAATCAAATCATACATTTTAGCTTAAAACAGAGTTGTTTATACATTTCTGGCACAGTTACATTAGCTTAAGCCTGTATTTTTTCCACATGAAAATAATTACCTTAATGGAATTTGCCTGCAAAAGGACCATAGGATGGAGCCTTACTATTTTTGTCATTAATCATTTACATTATGTTAGTCACAAAGCACTCAACCATGATTAGGGCTACTTTGTGCTGGCTTTAACAACAACAACAACAAAAAGCAGTAAAAAGGTTCTACCCCTTAATAAAACCTGAAGTAACTAATGTTTGAATTATTTCCCTCAGAAGTTTAGGTTTTTGAGTTCACATCTATAATTATGTTTCAATAAAACTAGGGATGTTAAAAAGTAGTTAATTAGGTAACCATGTAACCGTTAAAAGTCTTAGTGGTTACACGCTGTAGATTCTGCAGTATAAAACATAAACCTCAGAGCCTGTAGCACAGCTGGCTCCCTGGGAGCTGGGCCAACAGCTAGTGCATGCTGGAACCCAGCTCCTGGCCCTACTCCTGGGGAGCCAGCTGTGCTGAGGGGTCTGCAATATAAGCTTTATGCTGGAGAACCCACAGTGTAGGGTGGCAGCCGGCTTTTAAGTTGACTCCCAGTGTGCACCAGCTGCCGCCTACCGCCTCCTTGCTCTCAGCCCTACATCAGGGAGCTGGCTGCTGCCCTACACTGTGGGCTCGGATACAGGGCTCTAGATCATGATCTAGAGATAAGTTATCTAATAAGATAGCAGAACTTGTGAACAACTTCTAATACAACAGTATCTATTGAAATGTCTGGTCCATGCAACACACTTTGCGCCATATTGTCTTCTTTAGACAGATGTCCAGTCCAAGTTCATCACATACTAGCACACACCTATTGCAAACTTGCTGGAACTCCTCTTCACTGTGTGCAATGAGCACCACACCATTATGGAAAACAAGTCTTCTCCTTTGCTTTTTGATCTTAGACATGTAATGTTGAAAAGATTTCCATCTGATATTGTGGGGAGAGCTATTATATCCTGGGTGTTAGATAAGCAAACATGACAAAGTATCAGAGAATGAAAGCTCAGCATGCAGGCAGCCTCAAAGAATGAGGACTACCTTAGTGCTCTCTTACCACTGCAGCTTGGGGCCAGCGGAAAAGCACCTTTCCATGGTCACTGAAGCACCAGTGGACACATCTTGGGCAGGTCCAAGTTAGGCTGGGTGGGAACCAGAGAAGCAGCAGCTTGGGGAAGCCTTTGATTGAATGCCATGGCTGGGAGGGGTAGGTGCTTCCTCCTCTGGCCTCATCATGGAGCAGACACAGCTCAGGAGGAGTGGATTGGCGGGGGGAATGAGGCACCCCCTTCCATGGCCGCACCACAGGGCTGCCACAGCTGAAGGGGAGACAACTCCTCCTCTCCCTGACCCACCAGCCCAGAACGGAGCTGCTGTGGCAGCTCTGTGCTGGGGCCAATGAGCAGAGGTAGCAGCCTCCGCATCTGCACTGAGCCCCTGCACCTCCCTGAGACCACTGAGCCCTCTTTCAATAATCGTTCATTTGTCTTTTTTGAAGACTGTACTTAATTTGGTAATTGTGTCTTTTTTCTATTTGGTTTTATGAGAAGAATTCCCATTCCAGGCACACCCCACTTTTCTGGAACCGTCAAACACTTATCTTGTGTTAAGTCAACACCCCTTTCCCCCCCCACCACTATTGGAGAGTCTGCACTGTTGCTCCAATCCTCCTACTGTCCCCCCATGGGGCTGTAGCGCACCCAATCTACTAGCCTGGGCTTCCCTAGGCTCTAGTGTATCAGGGGAATGTCTTTCTCCTTCTCAGAGTCAGGGAGCCACATCAGCAAGGGATTTTTTTTTTTTTTTTTTGCTTCTCACTCGTGTGTGGCCTACAACTGCTTTGTCTGTAGGTCAGCAGCTCCAAATCCAAAAAAGGTCCCCAACTCCTACTTTAAGTTATAAGGGTAAGCTGTATACTGAATTTGGGGGTCCTAGCTCTTACCATTTAGGAAAAGTTCTTGAACAGACAGACAAGACTCTCTCAAACATATAGTAGATTGGCACCATTCACATCTTGTGGTATCCCTCCTTCCTCCCCAAGGCAAGCAAGATATTGTACAGATGTTTCAGCACACCTTGTCCTCTTTGTTTCAGCACTTGAACTGGAATTCCATCATTTCCTGCAGCCTTTCCTGGTCCTTTTTTAGCTCAATTTCCTTTTTGAGCTCAATTATACATGGTTCTAAGTTCTTTGATTGCCTGGGGATTGTATTTAGCTGCTTCAGAAACAGTGATTTCACATGAACAGAGTTTGGATCTGTTCTGCTTCTCTTAGTTAGTATATCTCTATTAAGAGATTTGAGTGGGGTAGTCCTCTTTGCTGAAGACCTTTTGCTTTCTGAATGCTATCATGCATCTTAGATCTTACTTCTGAAAGAACATGGATCTTCTCATGCAGACAGAGAATATGATTGTGCTCATTGCCTTGCTCTTCACTGCAATGAACTGTTGGCCACTCTGAGGATAGAACACATCCAGGATCACCATTCATGTGTAGTGGAGATATGATATTTATTTTGCTTCAATAACTGGGTGCATTTTTTCAAGCACATGCTGTCAACCAACTTTTATTTTGTACAGTTTTTTACCAAAGTGAAGATTGTAGCTACATGGATATTCAGTTTTATCGTGTTCCTGGGTGCTTCAGCAATCAGAGCAACAAGATCAATGAAACAGTTTCTTGGAGGTCTAGTGCATTAAAGATACCCTCCTTGGTCTTGTGTGTTGTTCAAGTTAAATGTGTGGGTCAACAGCTTTATTTGGTACAATGGAATTTCCTGAATGAAAATCCTACTTTGCAACATGGTCTGTGTGTCAGTCTATAGTAAAATGGTGAACATGGAGAATATCCTTCCAGTGTTTTCTGTGGGTGATAACTGAACCCAGTTGGTGTGAGTAGCCAGATGCAAAAGGTCTCCAGAAGACCTTCTGGTTGTAGATGTAAAGTGGAAGGTTCGGGAATGTGGCCAGCCCCGGGGAGGTGCAGAAATAGGCAACCTTGTACTGAATATCTTTTAACTTTTATTAACATTCTTTTAACTATAACTTTCTATTTAACTGTTTTAAAGGCGTGGGCGCCAAATAACTATTAACAGGAACAAGAAACAAAATACAGTGCAATAAAGGAAAATTCCCTGAGGTTTTTCCAAGTCCCAGTAATTATCATCAACCACCCAGGGATTTTTAACAGTTATATTCACATTAATTTCATTCATAAGGTCTAGCATCTATCTAACTCCTAACAGTACTATTCACAACCCGCTAACTAACTTATTCCTAACACTATTATTTAACAAACCTCTAACTAATATCAGACAGCAGTACTCACACTTATCAGACATACAAGGGACAACAGAGACAACAGCATATTCGGTACAGAGTTACGCTCTACGGAAGATTCAGTTGATTCGGTGAGTGGGAGGGAGCCCTCGGGTGATCAGCCCTCAGACCTGGATTGTGTTCTGCCTTCCAAATTTTCGGGAACCCTCAACTGGATGCAGGAGGAGAAGCTGTTTTATAGAGAGAGCAAGAGCTTTCCCGTGCTTCATTGTGATAGGCTTAATAGATTCTGTCTGCCTAGTGACAGGACTGAGGGGGAAGAAGAGGGGGTGAGATGGCTCTTGGCAGACGCGAACTTTGCATGACCTGTCTGGTTTTTTTACTCCTGCTTTTTACTGATCTTAAGTCACATAGTGCAGGATTTTTGGTTAGAGGGGAAGGTAATCTTGGACTAGGAAGGCTATGTGCACGAGGCCTGGCCAGAAAAGAGCCTGCTTTTACACTGGCCATGGAAGAAGTTACAGGTAATGTACAGTATTCGGCAGGCACAGAACACCTGTAATGTTTGCCCACTGTTGTTCATTTTTCCTCCTCCAGGGTGGCCAGTATATAGCAGTTGCATCTCGTTATATGAGGCAACTTTAACACTGGAGTATCCCAACAGATATAGATGCTTGCTAACAGGACAAATCCTTCTCTTCAAAGGTAGAACATAGGTACTGATAATGCTGGCAAAGATATCTGTAGAAAATATTCTTAATGATAGAATACATCCTCCTACTGTAATGGGACAATTAACTATGCGCACTAAGAAGCTGACTGCAAAACCAACCCTTCCACATTTGTGATAGTCTTGTTTTCTTTTTCCATGCTAAAAGAAGGCTCTTTGTGAGATGCTCACCTATGTCAATTAGCCAGATTTCAGAGAGAGTGGCTACACCTATGTCAAGCTTCTCTAGCTCTCCACCAATGATAGTAACTCTCTTAGGATTATTGCTCTCACTGAATTTAACTTCAGCTTGCCAGACACACTTGGCTTACACTCTGGCTTTTTACCAGTTTGGTTCTTTCTGCAGAATGACCCAAGCACATTTGCAGACTTGATTTTCCCCCAAAATATGTATGGTATTGACCAGCCCTTTCCTAGACAGTCCAAAGATATTAGGTCTGTTGTCCATTCAAGGGAACAATACACAATAACTTGTCACCTTAAATAAAGTTACCCAAAGAATTTAGCTTAAACACACTGTATTAATTTCAATTAAAGAATGAAACAAGTTTATTTAACTACAAAAAGATTTTAAGCGAGTACAAGCAATAAGGCATAAAAGTTAAATGGTTTCAAGACAAATAAAGTTATCACACTTTCTAGGGCCTAACAAACTATATTTGATCCAAAGTGAAGTTCATAGCACATCCTTCTGACAGGATAACTGACGATAGTTTACGGGTCAAGCCTCCTCTCCCAAAGTCTAATGGCTGTTTCTTCTGTCTGCTCAGGTGCAAAGAAGGAGATAGACAGGGAAAGATACATCATGAGGTATTTGCACCTCACTTTTACAGGTCAGCCTCCTCAAAGTTCTATTCAGCTGAGCAGAAAGAGTCTAATGAGGTTACATGCTATTTTCTGTCATTTGTGCTAAGGTACAGATCTTTGTCATCTTCTTGACAGCAAGTTAAGGATAGAAAGCTTGCTAGATTTCAAGCCCAACGACAATCTAGATACGTATGTAGATACGTTGGAAGGTAGGGACAGGGTCCTGAGTGACCTAGACAGGATTGGGCCAAAAGAAATCTGATGAGGTTCAACAAGGACAAGTGCAGAATCCTGCACTTGGGACGGAAGAATCTTAAGCATTGTTACAGACTGGGGACCGAATGGCTAAGTAGCCATTCGGCAGAAAAGGACCTGGGGATTACAGTGGATAAGAAGCTGGATATGAGTCAACAGTGTGCCCTTGTAGCCAAGGAGGCAAATGTTTTTTGGGGGCATTAGGAGGAGCATTGCCAGCAGATCTAAATAAGTGATTAACAACCTTTATTCGGCTCTGGTAAGGCCACATCTGGAGTACTGTGTGCAGTTCTATAGAAAGGATGTGGACACATGGGAGAGGGTCCAGCAGAAGGCAATCAAAATGATTAGGGGGATGGAGCACATGAACTATGAGGAGAGAGTGAGAGATTTGGGTTTGCTTAGTCTGCAGAAGAGAAAGGGGGGAGGGGTTGATAGCAGCCTTCAAATTCATGAAGGGATGGCGAGAGGCTGTTCTGCCATCTATCACTACTGAGAACAAGAGGCAATAGTTTCAAGTTACAGTGGGGAAGGTCTAGGTTGAATATTAGGAAAATCTATTTTACTAGGAGGGTGGTGAAGCACTGGAATGGGTTACCAAGGAAAGTGGTGGAATCTCCATTCCTAGAAGTTTTTAAGTCCTAGCTTGACAAAGTCTTGGCTGGAATAATGTAGTTAGGATTGGTCCTGCTTCTGATCACTGCTTCCCAGGTTGCCACCCACATATATTTAGTACCTTCCTCTTTGTGAGCAGCAGGTCAAGCTGCACATGGCCCCATGTCAGTTCCTTCAGCACTTGTACCAAGAAATTCTCCTCAGCATTCTCCAAAAACTTCCTGGATTGTAGGCGTACTCTTGTATTGGTCTCCCAACAGATGTCAGGGTGATTGAAGTCCTCCATGAGAACCAGGGTCTGTGATCTGGAAGCTTCTCTTAGTTGTCTGAAGAAAACCTCATCTACTTCATCCACCTGATCTGGAAGTCTATAGTGGACACCAACCACATCACCACCCCAGTTACTTCTACCTCTAAAATTAAGTCTCTTCCTTCAACTTTCCTTACTCCTTGTGAAATGAGGGTTACAGAGGTCAGAAGTCTGCCATCTCAACATTTCAAAATAATGGCTTGCTGTGTAGATGCACACTTTATTTCTAAATAACTGATTCGTTTTGAAATACCGCTACAATGTAGACATGCCCAAAGTGTGTAAAAGCCACTGAACATGTTACCAAGCAAAGAAATTATGCACCTTTTTCAACAAATGGAAAAAAGCCCACACACTCATTTTTCAACAAATGCAAAAAAGCCCACTTCTCTAATACTATGACATACATATTATATCATATATTGTATTAGCTAAAAATAATTTATTTAACATAAAACCCTTACCAAGACACAAACTTGCTTAAATCCGAATATTCACCACATTCCATTATAATGCTGAGGTCAGTAACAACAGCAGGTATACTTTCATCATCCTAGTTTGGAGAAATTATCAAAGAAAATATGCAGATTAATTTATAATTTTCCATAAACTTGCTAGTTACAGGAAATCTTTGACAGATTTTAAAAGAGCATTCTTCTTATATGAACAAGTCTGGTAATACACATAAATATTACAAAGGTAATAACCTATTTGAACAATACCTAAACTCCCTGTTAGAGAAATGGGAATTTTTAAGAAGTATGATACAAGGTGCTTGTATGCTTCATAACATGAAGTTGCCCTTTGTTTAGTCTATTATTGTCCCATTCTTCTCATCCATTAGCATTCCTGTTTCTTTATTAATATAACTTGCTGAAGAACTCCATCACTAAGAAACAAAACTATTATTTTATTCAGTGTTTGAATGACAAATGTAATGTGATCTAAAGAAAGGAATAAGAAAATGTGTTTTTTCTATAGTTTGCCTTGTTTATATTTCTTCAATTTGTTTTGTATTTTATTACATCCATTTTGCCTCAATTACATTTTACTTCTCAAGAATTACAAGTGCGTACAAATTTGCAGAAAAAGTGTGGTTAACATACATTCCAAATTAAAATCTCAAACAATGTCTGCAATTTTAGCTTTCACAAAGACAGAGTGAGAAAGTAGGTTCAAATAGAAAAATTGGAGACCATAGAAAATAAAATTCTTTCTATTACATGATTTAAAATATGCCAAAGTCATTAGCTTGGGAAAAGACAGTGGAAAGATTCGAAGGCAGACCACATTACGGAGTATTAATAGTTCTCACTACACTGGTGAATGCAGTTCTGTTTTTCCTATACTAATCCCTATGAAGTCATGGGAAGGTAAGATAAAGGAAACAAATGTAATGGGAATGCGGAGTCAAATGAAAACATACCATGCCATTTTCTAGCATTGCTTGGACAGGGACATTGCTAATGTTGCCATGACTAGAATTGGAGTAAGCTTGCCAAGATACTGTAAAAATTCAGGCAGCTGAACAAGCACCATAAGGAAAGAACATCAATTAAAACATAACAGCAGATAGCTCAGACCTGGGCAGAGCTACAAACAAGCTCCTACCAGAGTTACTGGATGTAAACAATTGCATCCTTATGGAAAACTAGTATTCTAGGAAACTGACACTAACATGCCCTGATGCCATCGGTCCAGATGCCAGCTGTCCAGTGTAAAAAATTAAAAAGGAAAAAAAATCCTCTGGAAAAAGGCAATTTTTAATTAATTGATATTCTTTAGATTTGATGTGGTAGAGTTTAAAGTTAGTATAAAGCTAAAATTGCTTATGTACTTGGAGAGAGGTTAAGTATAATGTGGCAGAATCTCATGGTATTTTTACATAAAACTTAATCTTTCTGTAAAGGATCTCCACTTTTACACTTGGAACTCCATGGTTAGTGACTTATAGCACCAGTACAGGCTTAACAAAAATTAGATACAGAAGTATAACCCCTTTGCTGTTGTAAAATTTTCTGATTTTATTCAAGAACTTGGGAAAATACAAACAAAAAACTGAACTCATTAAGTTGCAATGTGAAAGGAATCTGATGAAATCTGTGGTTTGGCCATTGAATGTATCCCCAAAACAGGGGAAGAAACAAATCCTAACATATTCTGGTCTATTCATTAGTAACTGGGCATTCCGCAAAAAGGAGTTTGGGAGTTTTGTTTTGGGGGAAATAGTAGCAGTGGGATTAGATATGCTGTAAGCATATCAGTAAATCTGTCTCTTAACACCAATTTCCTATGAAATAAAACATTTATCATGCTAATTTTACTGGTGGAGAGCCTAAGGAAAGAAGTTATGGCAAAATTTCCAAGTGTTAAAATTGTGGACTTAGAATCCAAACCTGCATTCAGAAATATGGGCAGAGCCTTGCAATCATAGACTCCATTGACTTCAGTGATCCATGCTTACCCTGCAATGTCATCTGCCTGGATAATCAAGGGATAATGGGCACAAAAACTTTTTTTTGCCGAGACTTTCAAGTGAGGGCGGGGGGGTGG